TATTTGTGTGTTTGCACCCATGTGCCATAGTGTTCCTGTGGAAATCAGAGGACAGCTTGATGTAGCTTGTTCTCTCCTTCCAGTATGTGAGTCCTGGGATCTCATAACTCCTGTGTTCTTTTTCTTACCCTTGCCCCCTTCTTGCCTCTTTTAGGTTGAGTATTTTGTTTTGATTTGCAGTGCTGGGGATCAAACTCAAGACTTCTGGCATGCTAGGCAGGTGCTCTGCCACTGAGCCACACCCCCAGCCCCTCACTGGGGGATTCTAGGCAGCTGCTCTACCACTGATTCATACCCCCAGCCTCTTAGTGGGAGATTCTAGGCAGGGCTCTATGTTGTTAAGCTACATAGTGTTTTGAGACAGGGTCTCACTATGTTGCTTAGGATGGCTTTGAACACCAGGTCCTCCTGCCTTAGCATCTCCTGTGTCTTGGTAACTGGTATCCATTCTGTGTCCAGCTTCTGTCTCTCACTGAGCCCAGAGCTGGGGTGGCAGCCAGCCAGCCTCTAGTCTATGCCTTCCACAGCACTGGATTATAGGCCTCTGGGGGCCATGCCCATCTTTTTTACATGAGTGCTGGGATCTGAACTCAGGTCAGTAAATGCTCTAATCCACTGAACTACTTCTTTAGCCCAGATACCAGCATATGTGTGCATATATACATATATATTCAAAAGATCTATCTGTCATCTATCATCTATCTATCTATCTATCTATCTATCTATCTATCTATCTATCTATCTATCTATCATCTATCTAATCTATCTATCTGACAGGATCTCTTTTTGGCCCCAGCTGGCCTGGAGTTTGCTATGTAGATGAGGCTGGTCTCAATCTCACAGATCCTCTTGCCTCTGCCTCCACAGTGCTGGGATCATAGGCACCACACCCATCTATTTTTTATTTTTATTTTATCTGTATGTGTGTGTGTGTTGCCAGAGTGTATGTATGTATGTACACCATGTATGTGCAGTGCCCTTAGTAGAGGCCAGAAGAGGGCATTGAATTCCGTGGAACTGGAATTATAGGTGGTTGTGAACCACCATCTGGATGCTGGGAACTGAACCTGGGTCCTCTGGAAAAGCAGCCAGTGCTTTTAACTGCTGAGCCATCTCTCCAGCCCCCCTTCCCCCACTTTTTTTTTTTCTGAGACAAGATCTCACTATACAGCTCTGGATGGCCCAGCACTCACTATGTAGACTACGCTGGCCTCAAACTCACAGATCTGCCTACCTCTGTCTTCTCAATGCTGGGATTAAAGGTGTTTGCTGTCATGCCACGCTTAAAACAAAAACAAACAAAAACAAAATTAATAAATAGAAAAAAATTAGAATTAGTGGGCATCGTCAGTTACATGCCAAAAAAGAGCCCCAGGCAGAGTGTGGGTGTGAGCCTTGCCACCCTCAGCCTGCGTGTGCCCAGGCAGTGGCAGCTGTGACTGTGGGGATCCTTCTTCTCTTTCAGGTGTTCTCCCCTGGGGCCCGGCGTCCCTGAAGATCATGATGGCGTATATGAACCCGGGGCCTCACTATTCTGTCAATGCCTTGGCCCTGAGTGGCCCCAGTGTGGACCTGATGCACCAGGCTGTTCCCTACCCAAGTGAGTGTGCACCTCCTTCCCAAATTCACTGCCTGTCTCTTAGGAACCTCTTGTGTTCAGGAGGAAGGCACTTATGGGGGTGTAGTGTGTGGGACATGGGGGCCATACACCAGCTCCATGTCTACCTGCAAGGGACTTTGGCATCTGAGGTACTTTTTTTTTTGGTCTTTTTGAAGCAGGGTCTCCCTGTAGCCCCAGCTGTCCTGGAACTCACTGTGTAGACCGGCTGGCCTTGAACTCACAGAGATCCGCCTGCCTCTGCCTCCCAAGTGCTGGGACTATAGGCGTTGCCACCACACTCGGCCTAAGGTACTTTTTTAATGTCCCTTTGAGATGCAGGAGAATAAATAGACAAGATACTGGCTCCTGCTGTAGTGAGGGAGGGGAATGCGGTCCAAAAGGAAAATCAAGAGGATTTCCCATGTGTTAGCAAAGCTTTGTTTCTAAAAAGTGTGAGCACTCTGATTTTATGGCAGTGGTTTTTAAACAATATTTTATTTATTATTTTTATTTTATTTTATGTGTACGAGTGTATTGACTGCATGTATGTAAGTGTGCCAGTGTCATGAAATGTCCGCAGAAGTCAGAAGAGGGCATCAGGTCCCCTGGAATTAGAGTTACAAACAGTTATTAGTTGCCATGTGGGTGTTGGGAGCAGAACCCTGGTCCTCAGCAAGAGCAGCCCTTGCTCTTAGTTGCTGAGTCATCTCTCCAGCCCCTGTTTTTTAATTTTTTTGAGTGGGGGTTGTTGGGATAGAATCCAAGGTCTTGTGGATGCTAGGCAGGTTCTTAACCACTGAGCTTCTTCCAGACCCTACTGGGGAATTCTAAGCAGATGCTCTACCACTGAGCCATATCCCAGCCTCCTGATTTAGCCTCCAGAGTGGTAGGATTGCAGGCCTGTACCACCAGTATGCCTGACTATGATATTTTAGCATTTCTCCTCCCCCTTCCTCCTCCTCTTCCTCCTCTTTCTCCTCCCCCCTTCCTCTTCTTCTTCTTTTTTGAATTGAGTGAATGTAGATTTATTAGGGAAAAGTGAGAACTCCCAAGAGCAGGAACTGCTGTTATCTCTTCTTTTCTCCCCTCCCCTCTCCTCCCTTCCCTCCCTCCCTCCCTCCTTTCTCCTCGGTCTCTGTCTCTGTCTCTCTCTCTGTTTGTCTCTCTCTTTCTCTCTCTCTTTTTCTTTCTTGTCTCACTGTGAAGTCCTTACTGACCTGGATTTGCTATGTAGACTTGGCTGGCTCTCTAACTCACAGAGAGCTACCTGCCTCTGCCTCCCAAGTGCCACCCTTCCCAGCCTCTTTTCATTCTTTTTGTACGTTTTTTAAAAAAATAGTTTATACCATGTGCTTGTGTGGAGGTCTGACGACCACTTGTGGTATCTGTTCTGTCCTTCTACCATGTGGGTCCCAGGGATTGAACTCAGGTAGTCAGGCTTCGCAGCAAGCTCCTTTACTTACTGGGCCATCTTATTGCCCTTTTTCTTTACATTATTTTGAACCATATGGACTTTCTAGTTTTATAGGTCAGGAATATAAACGTCTAGCATGTCTTTTTTGTAAGAAATATTAGAAGAGCCTGCTTCGGTGGCCCATGCCTATAGCCTCAGGCTGAGGCAGGACGATGGAGCCTAGGATTTCAGGGCCAGCTTGAGCTACATAGTGAAACCCTGCAACCCTCTTGTAATGAATAAAATTTATATTATTATATTATATTATATTGTATTATATATGATTATATATAAAATGGTTATATATAACATATTATTATTATCATCACTATTATTATATATTAGTGTTTTGTTTGAAATTTGGTTGTGTTCGCTGTTTTTTATATTTGTTTTGTTTCTGAGACAGGGTTTTACTCTGTGGCCCAGGCTAGTCTGGAACTCACTATGTAGCACAGGCTAGCCTCAAACTTGCAATCTTTCTGCCTCAGACTCCTGAGCACTGGGATTATAAGTGCCTAGCACCACGCCTGGCTTAGGTTTTTTTTTTTTTTTTCTGGGACAGGGTCTCAATCTGTAGCTCAGGCAGTCCAGAAACTTTAGTATGTAGCCCAGGCAGGTCTCAAACCTGCCTGTTTCATCCTCCTGAGTGCTGGGATGACAAACGTGTACCATCAGATCTAGAGAGAAAAATTTTAACAAGGACAAACTAGAACAGAATTCTACAGGGCTAAAACCAATTCCTTTCACGTGGGACATGACTGGAACACAGACCTCCAATTCCTCGGGGAACAGAGCCAGCTCTGGAGGGCCAGGGAAAGGACCGGCCAGTTGTTTAAACAGATGGATGTGCAGAAAGGAGTTCTGAGAGAATGTCCCACCAAACCTCAGGGCCTCGGGCCAGCAGACCTAGCTACTTGAGGGTCCTCTTTTGTCGCCACCTAGGTGCCCCCAGGAAGCAGAGGCGGGAGCGGACCACCTTCACACGCAGCCAGCTGGAGGAACTGGAGGCCCTGTTTGCCAAGACACAGTACCCCGATGTGTACGCCCGCGAGGAGGTGGCGCTCAAGATCAACCTGCCCGAGTCCAGGGTTCAGGTGGGATGTTCTGGACCTCTCTTGACCTTCCCTGTGACCTTCTGTGGGTACCTGTCAGACCCAGAGTGGAGAGAGGACAGAGAGGCTGGAGCAGTTATAAAGTGGCCTTGCTTGCCTATGTTCCCTCTTCTCACTTGAGGTCTCTGCCCACCAAGCATACTCCTGCCCCCAGGACCTTTGCACCCTCTGCTTCCTTTTATTTGAAGATTGGGGATTGAATCCAGGGTCTCAGACATGCTAGACAAGTGATTTACCTCTGAGATATAACATCTGCCCTCTTTTTACATTTTTCCTTATTTTTAAAAAATGATGTATTTGGGCTGGAGAGATGGCCTAGTGGTTAAGAACACTGGCTTTTCTGTCAGAAAACCTGGGTTTGAATCCTAGCCCCCACCTGACAGCTAAAAAAACGGCCATAACTCCAGTTCCAGGGGACCTGATGCCCTCTTCTGGCAGTCTGCTGGCACTGCATGACATGGGTGTACTTACATGCAGGCATAACATTCACACACATACAATAAAAATAAATAAATAAATACACTTTAAAATGATTTATTTATTTATTTTTTGGGACAGGGTCTTGCCGTGTAGCTCTAACTGATCTGGAACTCACTATGTAGACCAGGTTGGCTTTGAACTCACAGAGATCTGTCTGCCTCTGCCTCCCAAATGCTGGGATTAAAGATGTGCACTACCATGCCCAGCTAAAAATTTATTTTTAATGATGTGTTTATGTGTGTGTACATGGGGGTGGTAGGCACACATGAATGAAGGTATCTGTGGAGGCTAGAAGAGGGCATTGGATTGTCTAGAGCTGGAGTTGACAGTTGTAAGCGTGAGTTGCCCAGTGTAGGTGCTGGGAACCAAACTCAGGTCCTCTGCAAAAGCAGTACATGTTCTTCACCACTGAGCCATCTCTCCAGCTCCTTTTTTTTCTTTCTTTTTTATTTTCTTTTTTGATCTTTTTGAGACAGGGTCTCCCTGTAGCCTCAGCTGTCCTGGAACTCACTATGTAGACCAGGCTGGCCTTGAACTCACAGAGATCCGCCTGCCTCGGCCTCCCAAGTGCTGGGATTAAAGGCATGCACCACCATGCCTGGCTCTTTTTTCTTTTGTGTATATGAGTGTAATGCCTGCATGTAGGTGGGTGTACCCATGTCGTGCAATGTCCTTGGAGGTCAGAAGAAGGTGTCAGATTCCCTAGAACTGCAGTTATGAACTGTTATTAGCCACCATGTGGGTGCTGGGAATTGAACCCAGGTCCTTTGCAAGAGCATCCAGTGCTCTTCACCAATGAGCCATCTCTCCAGTCCCTTTGCCCCTTTTCTTATCCTAAAACATTATTTATTCTTGGGCTGGAGAGGTAGCTTAGTGATTAAAAACACTGACTGCTCTTACAGGGGACTGGGGTTCCGTTCCCAGCACCTACATAGCAGCTAACAATCATCAGTAACTCCAGTCCCAAGGGATGTTTTTTTGTTTTTGTTTTTAAAACAGTTTCACTGTGTAGCCCTGGCTGGCCTGAAACTCACTATGTAGACTAGACTAGCCTTGAACTCACAGAGATCTGCCTGCCTCTGCCTCCCAAGTGCTGGGACTAAAGGCATGTGCCACTATGTCTGACCAGTCCCAGGGGATTTGATGCCCTCTTCTGGCCTCATGCAGGCAAAAACACTCATACACACAAAAGATAAATACATATTTTTTTTTTTTTTGAGACAGGGTCTCCCTGTAGCCCCAACTGTCCTGGAACTCACTATGTAGACCAGGCTGGCCTCGAACTCACAGAGATCTGCTTGCCTCTGCCTCCCGAGTACTGGGAATAAAGATGTGTGCCACCACTCCTGGCCTAAATAAATAAAACTATAGCGTTTTTAAGTTACAGCTTTTCCTTGAAACCCCAACATGACTGCTCCCCTCCAATCCTGCTTAATTGCTTCTTCCATAGTACCACCAGCTTCTAAAATACCATGCTAGGCATGGTGGCTCACGCCTGCAACCCCAGCACTCAGGAGGCTGAGGCAGGAGGAATGCCTTGACTTTCAGGGTAGTCTGGGCTACCTAGTGAGTTATGGCTCTGCCCCCCTCCTCAGTTCTGTATGATTTACTCATTTTCTGTTCTCTCTCTTTTTTCCTTTTCTTTTTTAGACAGGCCTTATTATGTAGCTCTGGCTAGTCTGGAACTCCCTATGGAGATCAGGCTGGCCCTAAATCCACAGAGCTCTGCCTCTGCCTCTTGAGTGCTGGGATCAAAGGTGTGTGCCATCACATCTGGCCCATTTATTGTTACTTCTAATACACCTCAAGCAAGTAGAAGGCTAACCTTATTGATGTCTCCCTGAGGTGGTAGAAGATAGTTAATGCGTGTTCATTAAATGACTGAGAGGACTGGTGGATGGAGAGAAGAATTATGTATATGCATGTATATATGTGTGTTTGCAAGCATGTGTGTGTGTGTGTGTGTGTGTGTGTGAATGCTTTGCAATACAGGGGATTAAAACCAGGGCTTTAGCTGGGTGTGGCAGCCACACCTTTGATCCCAGCACTTGGGAGGCAGAGGCAGGCGGATCTCTGTGAGTTCAAGGCCAGCCTGGTTTACATAGTGAGTTCCAGGCCAGCTGGGGCTACAGGGAGACCCTGTCTCAAAAAGATTAAAAAACCCAAACAAACATAAAATAAAACCAGGGTTTTGTGCTTGCTTGGGCAAGTGCTGTAGCAATGAGCCACACCTCTATGCCTAGTATGATTGTGTGTCTGTATACAAAACTGCACGTACACATGACTAGATGCATGTATGTGTGTACAATCGGAAGGGTCAGTGAGTATATTCATGTTGGATGTGTTCAGATGTGTATGGTCATATGCATGATATATGTGATACATATATGATTGCATGCATATATGCATGAGCAGATGGAGGGATAAGAGTGAATGCAAATATAGTATATGCATATGTGTATGTGTGTGATTGCTTGTATGATATGTGTAGGGATGATGCATGCCCATATGTACAAGTGATTGGGCAGATGGCTTAGTGTATATAGGTATGTATTTGTATCTGTGTATGACTGTATGTGTATGTGAGAGGCTAATACATGATTATATGCATATATGTGTGATCAGGTATGTGGATGAGTGTGTGTAGATTCCTGTGTGGATATGTGTATGATTGCACGTATATATGATACCTGTGTGCATATGATTATTATATCATTGTATGTATGATCTGTGTGTGATCAGGCGTGCATGCAGACTTCTGGGTGCATATGTGTATGATTACATACATGTATGAGATACATATGATCCGGAGGGTGAATGGGGTGTATGCAGGTTGCTATGTGCATGTGTACATGCATGATTGTGTGGGTACATAGGATCATGGGCAGAACTGTCCCATCGCTGGATGCAGAGTCCAGACCTGCGTCTCTGACACTTCTCACCCATAGCCCCGCCCTCCTTCTGCAGCTTCAGACTCTGAGGTCTCCTTTGCTTATCCATCCCAGCCTTCCCTCTCTCCCTCTAGGTCTGGTTCAAGAACCGCAGAGCAAAGTGCAGGCAGCAGCGGCAGCAGCAGAAACAGCAGCAGCAACCTCCAGGGGCACAGGCAAAGGCTCGTCCTGTGAAGAGGAAGGCAGGCACATCCCCTCGTCCCTCCACAGATGTCTGTCCAGACCCTCTGGGTATCTCAGATTCCTACAGCCCTCCTCTGCCTGGATCATCAGGCTCCCCGACCACTGCAGTAGGCACTGTGTCCATTTGGAGTCCGGCCTTAGATTCCCCTTTGCCTGAGGCCCAGAGGGCTGGGCTAGTGGCCTCTGGGCCCTCTCTCACCTCAGCCCCCTATGCCATGACCTACGCCCCAGCCTCTGCTTTCTGCTCCTCCCCCTCAGCCTATGCGTCTCCAAGCTCCTATTTTAATGGGCTGGATCCCTACCTTTCTCCCATGGTGCCCCAGTTGGGGGGTCCAGCTCTTAGCCCCCTCTCAGGCCCCTCCGTGGGACCGTCCTTGGCCCAGTCCCCCACCTCTCTGTCAGGTCAGAGCTACAGCGCCTACAGCCCTGTGGACAGTTTAGAATTCAAGGATCCCACGGGCGCCTGGAAATTCACCTACAACGCCATGGACGCTCTGGACTACAAAGATCAGAGTGCCTGGAAGTTCCAGATCTTGTAGAAGAGACCTGTGTCTCCCCACAGCCTCGGCACCCTCTCCGTACTCAGTGGGCCTCTTCCAGCTTAGGTTCCGGGACAGTAGCCCTGAGCAAGGGACACAAGTAGCAGTCCTGCCAAAGGCTGTGGCCTCTTCAGCCTCTGGTGCAGCCCAACCTCAGATCCGTCGGAGAGCTTAGCCCCTGCACAGCCCACCTCTGATCAATCACAGAGGCACCCCCTCCCCTGGGTCAGCCCAGCAGCCATCAGTAGTTTTCACACCCCTGAGACTGGTGTACTCAATCCACACACTCCAGTGAAGGTGCTGAAAATTTGCCCCAGAAAGAAAGGAAGCAAGTCTTGCTGTTGACTTGAGTAATATTTAGGTGAGAATTCACTGGGCCCTTGGCTGGGTGTGGTAACTCAACACCTGTAATCCCAGCACTCCACGCTGAGGCAGGAGAATTACTGGAAGTTTGAGGCCATTCTGCACTACAGAGTGAGACATTGTATCAAAAAACAAAATAAAATAAAATAAAAATCACCCCAAATTCATTTGGAAAATTAAAAAAAATTTTTATTATTTTTATTTTATGTGTATGAGTGTACTGCCTGCATGTACGTGAGTGCACCCGTTGTGCAATGCCACAGAGGTCAGAAGAGGGCTTCAGATTCCCCTGGAACTGAAGTTAAGGACGGTTCATAGCCGCCATGTGGGTGTTGGGAATTGAACCTGGGTCCTCTGCAAGAGCAGTCAGTGCTCTTAACTGCTGAGCCATCTCTCCAGCACCGCACTTGGAAATTTTATATAAAGTTAAAAGAATGCCAGGTTTACATGATAGGTTTAGAGAACTGTTTGATCTTCTTGTGTATATGACGTATGTATATATGTATGTATGTGTGTATGTGTGTGTGTATGTATGTATGTATGTATGTATGTATGTTTATACTACAGGCTTGTGCCACCAAATTGGGCTGGGAAGCTGTATCTTACACCAAAGTTCCAAAGAAAGTTTGATGTGGTGGTCTGGAAGGGCTTGAAGGATGGATGGAATGTTCTAGAGGTCACGGTACCCCAGTCACAGGTTCACAGGGTCAGATGGAAGAGACTCCAGTGCTGGATCATCCAGACTCTTACAGAAGTTGAATCTCATCAAGAGGCTGAGGTCACTTGGGTGGGAGGTCTCCAGACATCCATGGAGTATGTCTGACATCCTATTTCATAAACTGGGCATGATGGCACAGGCCTGTGATTCCAGCACATGAGGGGAAGGCAGGATGATCAGGAATTTGAGGTCATCCTTGGCTACACAGTGAGTTTGAGGTCAACCTATGCTACACGAGACCACCTCAATTCCTCTTCCACAAATCCCTTCCCTCCCTTCCTTCCTTTGTTCCTTCCTTCCTCCCTCTTCTCCCTCTTCCTCTCTCCCTCCCTTCCTCCCTCTGTTCCTCCCTCCCTCCCTTCCTCCCTTCCTTCCTTCTTCCTTCCTTTCTCTTTCTTTCTCTTTCTCTCTTTCTTTTGTGAGACTGGGTCTCCCTGTAGCTCCAGCTGGCCTGAAACTTGCTATGTAGACCAAGCAGGTCTTGATCTCAGAGAGATCCACCTGCCTCTGCCTCTGCCTCCAGAGGACTGGACTTAAAAGCGTGTACCACCACACCGGGCCCCAGGAGTCTCCCTGGTTTGGCATTAGCTCCTGTCCTCTCCTTTCCTGTGCACTGGTGTCACTGGTAAGCCTTTTCTGGTTACCCAGAATGAAACTGATTAAACATGCTGGATTCCACTTAAGTCTGGGTGATTTTTTTTTTTTTCCATGTTATTTCCTGGGAGGGCAGACTTGGCTAGGTAGAAAGCGATAAGACTTGCTCTGTCTGTTCTGTCCCTAGGGGTGTGAGTGTACCTGGGTATTTTCTGTCTTGGCCATGGTTTTCCTCCATATCTCCTTGAAGCTAATTAAGAGGGAACACTGAAGCAGGGTATGGTGGCAACCACCAGAATCCCAGCACTGGGGAGGCTGAGGAGGAGGATCTCAAGTTTGAGGCCTGTCTGGGCAGTTTAAAGAGACCCTGTTGCAAATAAGTTTAAAAACAAAGGGCTGTGAATATGGGTAAGTGGTAGAGCACTGCCTAGAATCCCCCAGTGAGGGGCTGGGGTGTGGCTCCAGTGGTAGAGCACCTGACTAGAATCCCCCAGTGAGGAGCTGGGGGTATGGGTCAGGGGTACATTCTTGCCTAGAATGCTAAGGCCCTAGGTTCAATTTCTAATACAGTAAAATAAAATAAGCCAGTCTTAACTATTTAAATTATCACAGCAATGTATTAGATAGATGCCATGGCTTTTATAGGTGAGGAAACCCCAAGGGAGAGGGGGTTAGAACACCCACTTGTGCCCCACTTCTGGGAAGAGGTGTCTCTGGGCTTTATTGACTTCTTGGGATGTGGAGACCCTCCCTTTTTGTTTTTGTTTTGAAGCAGGATCTTGCTGTGTAGCCCTCATTGGGTCTTAAATTCACAGTAACTCTCCTGCCCCTATGGATATGTGCCATGGTACCTGGTACCCTGCATTTTCTGGTCTTCTCCCTGTCTTCCTTTCCGGATCTTTCTGGTCTTTCCTGCTTCTCTCTTTCCATCTCTGTCCTTACCCCCATAGATGCCTGTCGCTCTCATCCCCCCTATCGTGCAGGCTGTTCCCTGTGTCCCTGGACAGGACTAATTTAGCAAATGCTCCAATCCTCTTAGGACCACGGTCCAGCCTCAGCAGAATGGCAGAGAATTAGGGAGGATTAGGCTCAGACCCAGGACTGGTGGGGAGGGAACTCTGTGGGGACAACCATGTTATGAACTAGATGATGCCCTTCCCCCACACCAGCACTTCCATGTGACCTCAGCTGCATCCATGTGTACCCTAAAGATACAATCATGGATTTGCCTCTTATTTATTCATCTCTCTCTCTCTCTCTCTCTCTCTCTCTCATGTGTATGGCACACATGTGCCTGTATTCCTGCATGTGGAGGTCAGAGGAAGACGGGGTGTTTTCTTCTATCACTCTGCCTTATATTTTGATGCTCACTGTTTTGTCAAGGCTGGCTGGCCAGCAAGGTCCCAAGATCCTCCTGTCTCCATCCCTCGACACTGGGGTTATAGACATGTATAGTTGTGCCTGACTTTTAAGTAGGTGGTGGGGATTTGAACTCAGTTTTTCTTCTTTTTATTTTATTTTTAAAATTTTATTTATTATTTTTATTTTATGTGTATTTGTGTATTGCCTGCATGTAGGTAAGTGCACCCGTGTCATGCAATACCCCTTGTCGGATCCCCTGGGACTGGAGTTATGGACAGTTGTTAACTGCCATGTGGGTTCTGGGATTCGAACCTGGGTCTTCTGCAAGAACAACCAGTGTTCTTAACTGCTGAGTCATCTCTCCAGCCCCCAGGTTCTCTTCTTTTTAAAAAACAATACTTTATTTATTAATTTTACGTTATGTGTATGAATGGATTGCCTGCATGCATGTGAGCGCACCCGTGTTGTGCAGAAGAGGGTGTCAGATTTCTTGGTACTGGAGTTTTGGATGGTTGTTAGTAGCCATGTGGGTGCTAGGATTCAAACTTGGTCTTCTGTAACAACAGCCAGTGCTCTTAACTGCTGAGCCATCTCTCCAGCCATGAAAGATATTTATTCTTATTTTTACCTCTCTCTCTCTCTCTCTCTCTCTCTCTCTCTCTCTCTCACTCTGTGTTTGTGTGTGTGTATGTATATGCATGCCTCATGTATTCAGGTGCCCATGGAGGCCAGAAAAGAGTGTCAGATCTTCTGGAGCTGGAGTTACAGGCAGTTGTGAGTTGTCTGACAGGTGCTAGGAACCAAACAGGTCCTCTGCAACAGCAGATGCACTCTTAACCATTGAGCCACATCTCCAGCTGCTTTTATTTTTAAAGACAAGATCTCATGTATTTCAGGCTGGTTTGAACTTGCTATGTAGCCTAGGATGATGACTTCCTGCTCCTCCTGCCTCTTTCTCTCAAGTAGTGGGATTTCAGTTGTGTGCCACTACACCTTGGTTTATGTGGTTCTGGGGGTCAAACCCAGGGCTTTGTGCAATGCCTATGGAGATCAGAAGAGGGTGTCAGATCCCTTGGAACTGGAGTTATGGTCGATTGTTAGCTAGTGCTCTTAACCACTGAGCAATCTCGCCAGCCCCTATTTATTAGTTTTTAAAATTACATTTTCACTGTCTGTCTCCATTTGTCTGTCTCTGTCTCTTCTTGTCTGCCTCTGTCTGTCTGTCTGTCTGTCTGTCTCTGGGCTGGTTAGTGTCATGAACACTGGTGTGATCTGATGACAACCGGCTGGAGTTGGTTCTCTCCTTCCATGGTGGGATCCAGGGATCAAACTCAGGTCCACAGGTTTGCAAGGCAAGCACTTTTAAGAGCTGTGTCACCTTCCTGGGCCAGAACTTTCATCTTTAGGCTGAGGAATTCAAGTGTACCCTGGACATACTGTGTGCTTGGCCCCTTATAGGCATATGCTACCACACACCTGTTTGAAAGGCATTATCATTATTTATATTTCTTTTGTTTTGCAGCACCAGGGCCTTGTACAATGCTAGGCAAGCTCCCCACCTCTGAACCATACCCAAGCCCCTACACTTCTTTCTCTAAAATTTTCTTTTGATTGATTTTTTATGTGTATGTGTTTTACCTGAATGTAAGTGCACCCATTCATGCAGTGCCCTGAGGGGCCAGAAGAGGGCATCAGATCACTTTGAACTGGAGTAAAGGACAGTTGTTAGATGCCATGTGGGTAATGGAACCAAACCTGGGTCCTCTGCAGGGCTGGCCTGGGAATCACTATGTAGACCAGCCTGGCCTCCATCTCACAGAGATCCACCTGCCTCTGCCTCTTGAGTGCTGGGATTAAAGGGGTGTGCCACAATGCCCCCTATATTTCTTAAATAATAAGTCTTCAGTGTAAAAATGCCTCCTGGCTCCATCCATCCATTTTGGGCTGCAGAGAGGATGCTGCT